TTACAGTGGGAGTTTGTGGGGGGGCATTCTTTGCTATTCTACACCCACTCTACCACCACCACCTTGAAGCCCACAGAAGTAAACCCCACTTACAGCCCCTTCGCCGTTGCAGACTGCTGGTGCCGCTGCTGTGTGGAATCCAGATCTTCTGCAACCTGGTTTGGGTGAGCTCTCCCATCTCTTGAGACATCTTAGGTGTTGCAGCTAATGACACCACTCCCTATAAGATACCAGGTCTCACTTCCTACCTTCCTAGCTGTCCTTTCTGTTGCTGTAGCCACAGAAGCAGTTGAACAGGTCTGGGATGGGGGTGCAATGGACTTCTGAGCCTCTAACAACCTGTCTCCAGCCTATTCTTCTTTTTCCTCTAGTCCTAGACTGTCTATGCTCCTGTATGTACTAGTGGGGCTTGGATGCCAAGATCGAGAGGTTGGGCAGAAATCAGCACAGACCTCTGAACTCCAAGGGTTGTGTACATAGGAGATAAGTTGGAGCCCAGCAAGGAAGGCAGCCAGCAAGATAGCCCAGGTCTGGCCAGTCACTTTCTGCCAATGAAGACAGGACTAGTAGGGTATACAAATAAAAGACTAAAGATTATGTGCTTACATCCTGTGTGGGGTGGCAAAGCAAAGGTGACAGAGGTAGGTCTCAGATTTGAAATAAGAAATTGGACCCAAGTAGAATATCAAGCTCCAACCCAGAAACACACATCCATATCAGAAATCATCAGAAATACAAAGGCCCCAAGAACAAAAATATAAAGTCCCTAATAAAAAATGCAGTGTTTTGAACTAGCAATTAAAGGCCCAAACTGGAAGTGGAAGGTTCACTGTCTCATTGCTCTCTCCCACCTAAAATGGCATTGCAACCCTTGTTTTCGCCTGGAATCTGCCTTCCCTACCTCGAAGCCTCTTCTTTCTACAATGTGCTGCCTGGGGCACTGCTGGAGAGATGGCCACTATGTGATCATCTTTATACTCCCTCCAGCCAAGGCTAAATAAATCACTGAACCTGATACTTTGGGAAGGGGAGTGAGTATAGCCATTGCTAAGGGGAGAGAGGGTAAGCACTGCTCACATGGCTGCCAGCTGCCATGAGATGTTCTAGGGATATAGGCATCATGATCTGATCCAAAATTTGGCTAAAGTTCTTCATGCCAAGCTGTTGGAATGGAGACATACAAGGGTAGAGGCTGCAGCACAGAGAGTGTAGGGAGCAATAAGCAATGGCCTGTAAGGGTGAAGAGTCCATAAGCTAGAGCCATGCCACCCAGATGTTTCCCATTCACTAGATCCACTTCCCCTGCCTCCTACTCCTTGTTATTTTGAGGCTTTTATCTGTAGAACTCATATAACTGCACAGCTTGCCTGGAAGATATCCAAGTGTGTTCTTACTTCATTCTTTTGCAACCTTCCCACCCCCTGATAAACCTCCACTGATTGGCTATTAGGAAGAACAACTTTCTTCCACTGAGCTAGGCTACACAAGGACAATCTCTTGGGGATAGAAATCTTCAATCCCTGCCATCAAACGCACTTAGCTCCACTTTACCTTTTAAAATGTTCCCTAAAATACATCCTCAGAGGTTTAACCTACACAAGGGTTAGATTCCTTCTGGTTGCTGTGTATAAATTATATTAGACTTTCAATATTAGAGCCCACATAGCTCAATGAATCTAGTGATGCAGTGGATCATAATGGTTAGAAGCAATGGATTCTGGAGACACACTACCTGAGTGGAATCTCAGTTCTGTCCATTGATGTTTATAGTCAACAGACTGAACTTTTCAGTGCCCTATTTTTTAAAATTTCGAACATGGGGATGATAGGAGTACCTACACCTTCAGGGTTGTTGAAGATTTTATATATTAACACATGTAAAGCAGCCTGAAAAATGCTAAATATCTATTACCTAACATTGTTATTCCCTTTTTGAAGTAAATGATCAATCATTTCTTTCACTAATCAGCAACTTCTTTTGGTAAAGGAAACACAATATTAAGGCAAAGTGTTAACATTTATGATATAGAGAACTCTTGAGAATCAATTTAAAAAGATGGATTTATTTTTACTTTTCTGGTTTTATGTGAAGACTTATGGAAAAGTTGAGAGGCTCCCTATACATCATTATACCTCATATTCTTAGGTAAAAAAATATTGAGGCCTAGAGAAGGGAAATGTTTTTCTAAGGTCATACAGAAAATCAGTGACCAAGTCAGGAACAGAATACTGGCAACCCAATTACTCCCAGTCCATGGCTTTTCTTTGGTTAACTGATCAAGCTAACTTGATTTAAGAATATGATCTTTCATATTATGTTAAGTGAACTAAGTCAGACACAGAAAGGTAAATACAGCATGTTCTCATTTCTATGAGGAAGCTAAAAGCATTGATCTTAAGAAATTGAGAGTAGAATAGTGGTTACCAGAAGTTGGGATGAAGAGGGAATGGAAAGAGAATGGTTAATGGGTACAGGATGCAATTGGATAGAAAGGATAATTTCTAATGTTCTATAGCATAGTAGGGAAACTATGGTTGACAACGAGTGTATATTACAAAATAGCTAGTAAGAGAAGATTTTGAATGTTTCCAAAGAAATGATAAATGCTTGAGGTGGTAAGTATGCCAATTACCCTGATCTGATCACAGCACATTGTATACATGTATTGAAGCATCACATGGTATCACATAAATATGTAATATTATGTGTCCACTCAAAGTGAAAAATTTTGAATGTAGTCTTCCACACTAGCTATGAACTTCTAGAGTTTCAGAATCAAATTTTGGAAGAGATACAACTCTCCTAATACTAATAAATCTCCTAACTGATATAACTCCATTAATGCTTACAATCTTACTAATGATATTTTCTGGTATAAATTCCATTGCTAACAAAGCAACAACATATCCCTTAACCTATTAGTACCTTATAAACATATTCATTATAGACTGAGGTATCGGGTGGGAAAGTGGCTTGTCAAAAGTAATCTATAGTCAGTCACATGAACATGTGTCTTACGTTTACAATTTTATCCTCATGATCCTGCCAAGGGGTAAGAAGATAATTTTAGTAGCAGGAAATCTGAGATAGACAGCTAGCAGGCTTTTGACAAGGTTTGAAAGGGTAAGTCTGGGGTTCAGTCTTGAAAAACCAATTTAAAACTATGTGGAACTATGAGACTCTACACTTCTGTTACAAATTCTGATTCCAGAGGCAGAAAAACAAAACACAAGCTTTATGGAAAGGCCTCAGCCTAGCATTCAAGCCTCTTATAAATCAAGCTCAAACCTGCTTGTCCAGTCGTCATGTCTCTCTTTACATCCCTATATTTAAACTGCAGTGGCTGACTCCTCACTGGGCTTCAAAACATACCATATACTTTCCTATCTCTGGGCTTTTGCTCGGCCTGGAATGTCCTCTCTTCCCTTCCCTTCTCAATAAAATCTGACTCACTCATCAAGGCCTAGTTTAATGTTCGCCTCCTTCGGGAAGTCACCCCTGTATATTTGGGAGAGGATTTGTCTTTGCTTATCATAATGCCCATGTATCTCCATTTATCTGAGCAAGTATCTACTAGTGTTTCCCTTGTCTACTTCCCTACTAGACTGTGGGCTCCTCGAGAATGGGGACTGGGTCCTGGTGATCTGTGTTCCCAGTGTTTGGCTCAGGCACTGGCACAGAGAAAACACTTTCACAGTGAGCATTTGTACAGTCTACATCTCTCTGCCCAAATGAAATAAACAAGTGGACAAGTAATCTCAGTTCAACAAGATAAAGAGAGCTATGATGGAAAGTGGTTGGGGGACCTGACTTGGTCTAAGGTAGAAGGTGGCATCTAGAAAGAGTTCTCAACTTTGAAGGGGGCAGAACAGAATAAACATAAGAAATCTCCTCTGAGAAGGTCCAGTGAATTAGTTGCAGAGATAAGGTTCACTCAGGGCTAAGATTTTCATTCAGGGCTAAGAGCTGAGCCATTAGTTCTAAAATCAGTCTATTTTTAGGGGAAGAAAAGTATACAGTGTGCCTTCCTTAGCATACAGATTCTAATACCCCTAGAGTATGGGGTTTGGGGGAGGAATCCCATTTAAAGCATCAAAACAGTACTGATGGGCAATGAAATTGCAAATGAGGGCACCTTATTTGTAATTCTTGAAATGTGTGGGTATGGGTGCATGTGTAGAGGATTAGGGTGCTGAGGGGAGGTTAGCCCATGCTTAAAGATTAGGTGCATGTACCAAGATACACCATGTAAAGGTACAAGATCCCAATGATGAATGTAACTGTATTGTATACCTAAAATGTACCGACAAACTTAATGAAAAAAAAGATTAGGTGCATGCATGAGTATATATCAGGCCTTGTGCAGCAGCAACTCAGGATCCCTATTTTCAGCCCCATGCCTGTGCACTCCTAGAGCTAGGAGTGGCTCTTCACAAACCAGTCACTCAGAGAGAAGAGCAGCAAGAGGGTTGTGGGTGGTATTGCCTGTGGACACTACAAAAAAAGCAGGTTCACTAATCTCAGACAGAGCATGAAAGTACTAAAATGTCTTCAAAGAACTTTGCATCCTGTCTTCCCAACCCTCTTGATTTTCAGGCATCCATCTGAGGAAAGTCGCCTAGGGACTTTAATTTCCATTTTACTGAGGAGGCTTTTGATAGAGAAACTAGAGAGCTTGTTCAAAGTGTCATAACAAATCTACCCTACTCTATACACCAGAAAGAAGGTAAGAGATACAATCTTTATCCCATGTTTCATTCAAAACTTGACTCTGTAAACTAGAAAGACTTCCAAAGGTGCTAAGGAATTGCCTGTTTTGTCAATGTCCTAAAAATTCAAGTCAAAATGTATACAAATACAGATAGATTAGATATAGATATCTTTTCCTATACCCTTTAATTCATACCTCCACCAACCACGTATGCAAAGAAAACTTTTCAGAGAGCCCAAAGAATGGATTTGTGTAACTCCTGTCTGTTTTTCCTTATTTCTCACATACCTGTTCTTTTAGAGATTTTTTCTTCCATTGCTAATTATCCAACATTCAGCTGTCTTGCATTTACAGACCTCCAAAGCAACTCCAGCGGATGGCATCGGAGAAGGAACCTAGAGATGTTCACTGGCTCCTGGGAAGGCTGAGGAAGCACCCTTGCTAAGGGGTGTGTGTGTGTACTCTGTTGAAATATCAGCTGTTGTAATTGCCAAAGAAGTTCCTGAGCCACCCGGAGACTTTTCTCTTCCAACCATGTGTTCACCTTGCCCCAAAGGTCAGAACTAATATTAACAAGCAATGGCAGAATGGAAAAATTAAAACCAGCTATTGAGACAAGCAAGATTTAGATTTTCTTGGAGCTGAATTTCAGACAGGTCTTCAGTGTAAATGGGCACAGCTCCTTACTGGAAAGCAATCTGGCAATATGAAGCAAGAGCAATAAAAATATTTATTTCCTTTGTCCTAGTGACCCCACTCCTGGGATTCAATCCTGAGTAACTCCCAAATCATGAAAAAAAGCTCAAAGCACAGAATTTTTTAATTACAGAGCTATTTTCTGATGGCAACAACAAGGTGACTTTTAAGTCCTCTGGAAGAAAAGTAGTTCACTGGGTTTTTTTATGTAGCCCTCAAGGATAGTGGCTGTGAGTCTGTGAAGTTCTTGGGGAAAAATAATTATGCTGCGATTCTGGATGAGAACCTTAAAGGTGCAGTTATACATTTTCCTAGACATTGGACATGTCTTATTTCTACTTTTGTGCTCTGAAAACAAACCATGAACCTGTTGCTATTGCTCTGTCTTTTCATGTAACAAATATTTATTCCCTCCTAATACCTGCTGTGTTCAGTATTAGGAAATCGAACTAACAAGATGAATCAGCTACGGTCCTTACTCTCAAGTTGGTGGTAATCTAGAACTAGAAATCAGCCAAGCATCGTGGAGCATGCTTATAATCCCAGCATTTGGGAGGCTGAGGCAGGTGGATCGCCAGGAGTTCAAGGCCGGCCTGGACTACATAGCGAGACTCTGTCTGAAACAAACAAACAATACCAATTAATAGTAGCTATATATTGTTGTAACTGCTGTGACAGAATGAACCATAAAGTGTTGTGGGGGCCGAGAGTATAAAAGACAAATAGATTTGAGTTGTGTGGTCAAAATCTTACTTAGAAAAATAATCCTTGAGCTGATTAAGATGGGGTTTGAATCCTGGCTCTACCACACCTGTGAAACAGGTAAAAATCACTCAACCTTTCTTACATAGTTTCAATGCCCCTTACTGGGCTGTCCAAAGAATAAAATGAGATAATGTATACAGAAAAGCTATGGTTGTATCAGGAGAGTGCTTCTCTGCAGCTTAAATTTTCTGGACCTCCATTTTACATATCTGAGGAATGGGGCCAAGAGCAAGTATGTGTCTGGCCACATCCTTCTAGGTATGAGGTCCAAAACAAACGTGGCTATGAGGTGGATTTGAGAGTCTCCTCCTTCCTCAATACATCCAAAGCCATCCTCATAAGTCTTATCGCAGTAGTGCAGTTCTTACAGCTCTGTCCTCCAATTGCGAAGTTCGCTAAATTTGCTTCACCCCTACTGCGGCGAGCATATTACGGCAGCGATTCCTGGGGCGCAGACGCTTCAGCCTAAGGCCTACTTAAAACGGCGGTCTGCACGCTGGGGGCGGGGCTTCGGTTGCAGCGCGATTCCGCTGAGTTCTGCTGCTCAAAAGTGACGAAATCTTGCTTATAAGTAACCAGAAGCACGCAGCGTACTTTTGAGCAGAAAAGAAATACAGTACAGTCAGACTCGGGTTTCGGGCCAGTGTGCGTTCAGGGGAGCAGGAGCCCAACCGGAGACCTCATTGTCGCCATTCATTCTACCTTCACAACCACTCTACCCCTCCAGCGTCCACCGAGTTCTGCCTTCGGCCAATGACAACTGAGTGGCTCTAAGTCCCGCCCCGCGTGCGTCAAATCCTTCCGTGGCACGCAAGAGAACGCCTGCGCAAATGCGCGCGGGAGGCGGTGTCTGGCCAATTTCTAGCGGCAAGTAGTAGTTTGTCGGTGGGAGGCCTTCTAGCTCGCTGAGATGTTTCGCTTGGTGAGCTGGAATATCAACGGAATCCGAAGTCCCCTGCCAGGGGCGGTATGCCAGGAATCCAACAACTGCCCCAGCGAGACCATGGGACGCACTTTGGAGGAACTGGGTGCTGATATCGTCTGTCTCCAGGAAACCAAAGTGACCAGTGAGCTTTCAAGAATCCAGGATCATCATCATTTTCCCACTAACTTTTGCCTCTTGCCCCAGCACATTTGACTTTCCCATTTTCCTGTAATTTAAGAGTTCTGCTCTTAGACTCCAGATCCCAATCTCTTCCCTCTTCAACCCCTTTTACCACCCCACTAGGTTCTCTAATTCTATCCCATCTCCTGTCCTCAGCAGAATTTTAATTTCTTCCTTCTTGAAACCCGCATATCCACTCAAAGTCCCACTCATTCTACCGCCCCAACTCAACCCCTTGAATTTCCTCCCTCCATATATTGTCCATCTCCCACCCCCAAGTCAGAGCCTTCGGTTCTCTGTCCCAAGGCCCAGCTCAGATCCTCTAATTTTCACACCATCTTTGCCCCATCCCAGACTCTATTTGCCTCCATCTAAGATCACCAATTCCCCCTATCTACCCCCATCTCTTTAGGTTCAGAGCTCCTAATTCACACCTCATCTCTCACTCCAAACTTAGACCTCCTGATTTGCTCTTTCCCATTAGATCTCAGACCCCCTAATTTCTTTTCCCCTCATCCCCAGTTCAGATCCCCTAATTCCTTCTCTCTCACCTTTTACACCAGTTCATATTCCCAGTTCCCTCTCCCATATTCCTATTTCCCACCTCTAGTTGCCTTCTATTACCTAGACCCCCAGGGTAGGCTCTGATTCTCTTCTCCCTCAATAATTCTTCACCTCCCACTCCATAGACTTTCTACTTCCCCATCTAATTTTGATATCAGTTCCCTCTCTCACTTTTCCACCTATCTCCTCTAATCATATTAACTTGTAGCTAATTGTCCCTCCTACTGCTAGCTCTGATGTGTGCTAGTAATTAGCCCACAACTAACTAATTCCAGGCCTTTTTGTATGCTGGATCCTACTTTTAATCTTTGACTTAATATTACATTTTTTTCTCCAGGGGATGTGCTGACAGAACCCCTGGCTATTGTTGAGGGCTATAACTCCTATTTCAGCTACAGCCGCAGCCGTAGTGGCTATTCTGGTAAATGGGTTTTTCTGGGGGACTTAAAATTAGTTTTAGTAATAGAGGCAGTTGTGGGGAAAGGTCTTCTATTTATTATTTGATGAGAAGGTAATAACTTTGGACTTTTAGTCCACAGAGCCAAAGCCCTATAAAATTAAGTTATATGAAGTATGATTTTTAATGTATAAAATTATTGCACCTCAGAAATACAGTAGTGTGATGGTTAATTGTGTGGGCTCTAGCACCAGACTGCCAGGGTTCAAATCATGGCTCACTTCCTAGCCTCTCACTCTCTAGCAAGTTACTCTGTCTCTTTGTGCCCGGGGTTTCCCAGTGAGAGAATGAAGATAAGGGCTATTAAGAAGATCAAATAACGATAGCTAATACGTATGAACAGTTACCATGTATACATGTAAAACACATAAAATATTAGCTGTTAATATTATATTGTGGCCTTTTTAGATAAAGAAATTGAGGCTTCAAGGTAAGCATCAAGTTGCCCCAGACTCTAGGGAGCCATCTGTGGCCCTTGGGAGAGTTGTCAATACATGAAACATAAAGAACCACATTTTATAAAGATGATCAGGCAACTGGTGTGGGGATAATTGGAGTGGATAGACTGTATAACTAGCTGTATAACTTCACTGCTAGTCCTGTTCAGAGTATCCTCTCTGTCCCCAGGTGTAGCCACCTTCTGTAAAGACAGTGCTACCCCAGTGGCTGCTGAAGAAGGCCTGAGTGGCCTGTTTGCTACCCAGAATGGGAACGTGGGTTGCTATGGAAACATGGATGCGTTCACCCAGGAGGAGCTCCGGGCTTTGGATAGTGAAGGTCGGGCCCTCCTTACACAGCACAAGATCCGGTAATAGCCCATATACCCCTACCACTGAGCACTGTGGGCTCTACTCTTAGTGTAGAAATTCCAAGGTTTGCCTTGTAAACATAGATTCAGTATAAATTTCCCAAGCTTGCCTAGTCCTGGCTGGGCTGCTTACTATGTGACCCTGACAAATTATATTCCTGTCTGAGTCTTGAGTTTACATCTCTATAGTGGGGGACTGGCTTGATTGTCTATCTCTTATTACCACAGGTACCTTAAAAGTAACTTACCCAGTGCCAAACTCATTGCCCCAAGTTGCTCTTTCTGGGTGAGCCGTTTTCATGAATGGCAGCATTATCACCTGGTTTGCCTGGATGTCATCTTACATGACCCTTTCCCTGCCTCACCTGTAGTCTCTCCCCAAGTCCAGTGCATGTCTGCTCATTCATATCTCTAACTCCTCTTCTATCCTGTGGACAGTTATTAAGTGGGAGCCACATGGTGTAGGTACAGGAAGCAAGGGTTCAAACTGACTTCTTTGGAGTATTTTCCATAGAACATGGGAAGGGAAGGAGAAAACTTTGACCCTAATCAATGTGTACTGCCCCCGTGTGGACCCTGAGAAGCCTGAACGACTGACCTTCAAGATGAGCTTCTATCACTTGCTGCAGATCCGAGCAGAAGCCCTTCTGGCAGCTGGCAGGTACTGCAAGTTGAGCAGCAAGGCTTCCTTGAGCTTGTCCTGGGATGCCCAGCCCTGTGTCACACTTCATTGGAAGAGATACAGAATCTTTGTCTTTGAATTCCTGCATAGTGTAATTGCAGATGCTGCTATGTCTACCTGAATAACCTTGCTTTCTGAAGAGCTGTGAGAATAAGACAAAGTGAAACAAACATGGGTTTTGTGCTCTGAGCACCTATCCTGGCTACTCTTTTTTCCTTGTGCTTGCCAGGCAGGCGGTGGAACCACTGAGCTAAATCCCCGGCCCCACTGGCTACTCTTATAACTTACTGTCCCACAAGGCTAGTCCTGCCCACGTTTTTTGTCAAGTAAGTGTGAATCTGTACCTCACCGTATAGTATAAAGGATTAAGTAAGATAAATGTGGTGACGTACTTGGGAACAAATGAAAGTTTTGTTCTAGAAAGGGTCAGGGAAGTGAGGATATATTAGAGAACTTAGGGGTGCTTCCAAGAGGAAGTAAGAAGTACCTTCAGCTCAGCTTTGAAGGACAAATACCATAGCATTAGGTTGAGATCACTGAGGTGATAATGTCAAACAGAGAACAGTATCACCTTTAGAGCTCAGACTTTGGTTGGTCAAAGGCATTTTGGTGTCAAAGACATTCAGGTTATGGCTAGTCAGCTAAGATTAGAGTGGCCGTGGCTAAAGCTTCAGTGTTGAGGGTTGGCAATTTGAGCCCTTGAACCTGAGTAAGAGAATATGGTACAAAACTATTTCTTCCTGTCTTGAATATCCAGTTGACAATCCCAAATTGTATTTTTCAGCCATGTAATCATTCTGGGTGATCTGAATACAGCCTACCGCCGCATTGACCACTGTGATGCAGTCAACCTGGTAAGGCTCCTTCTAGTCCCAGGCCCCAATTGTGACTGATTCTGTTAACCTGTCCAGCCCAACGCTTGGTTTTTGGCAGCTTCTTTTATGAAAAAGCAGAGCTTGGTTTTAAATACTATTCTTTCTTTTGTAAATTGACACATAATACTTGAACATATTTAGTGCAATGTGATATTTTGATACTTGTATATAGTATGTAAAGATTAACTCAGCTAATTGGCATATCTGTCACCTCAAGCATTTACTGTTTCTTTGTGTAGAAACTTTCAAAATCCTTTCTGCTACATTTTTTTTCCTCTGTTCTAGGTACCTAACATGCTAGGCAAGCCCTCTACTACTAAAAGAAATACCCAGTCCCCTGGGTACCTATTTTGAAATATACAATAAATTATTGCTAATTATATTCATCCTACTCTGCTACAGAACTTTTGAACTTTAGTCTGCAATCAAACTATTTTTGTACCTATCAATCTAGAAACCCCAATTTTATTCTCCACTTCTATGAGATCAATTTTTTCACTTTCTACATATGAATGAGATCATGTAGTATTTTTCCTTTTGTACTTAGCTTATTTTCATTTAACATAATGACCTCCAGTCCCATCCATTTTGCTGTAAATGATAGGATTTTGTTTTTTAATTGGTCATTTTTAATCCCCTTTTCCTCCACCTGCCTCTCCCTAAAGGTTTCCTTCCTCACCTTCAAAAAGTCTACCCTCTTGTTTTCCTACCATTCCTTTAAATTATTTATATTTTATGTTTCTCATATAAGAGAAGCCATGCAATATGGAACCTTCTGTGTCATATTCATATATATATATATATCTCAATAATTTTTGGTAGTAGGATTATTTTGATAATGTTGGTTCTGCCAATCCATGAACAATGGAGGTCAGTCCACTTTCTAATGTCATCTTCTATCTCTTTCTTAAGAATACTATAGTTTTTGTCACAGAGATCTTTTACCTTACCTAGGTTGATTCTAGGGCATTTAATTTTTTAAGAAACTATTGTAAAAGGGGTTGTTTTCCTGATTTGTTTCTGGTAGGTTCATTAATAGTATACAAGAATGCTGCTGGTTTTTGTGTGTTGGTTTTGTTTCTTGCCTCTTTGCTGAATTTGTTTATTAGCTCTAAGAGTCTTCTGGTGGAGTTTTTTGGTTTTCTATATAAAGGATCATATCATCTGCAAATAAAGATAGTTTGACTTCTTCCTTTACTATTCATATTTCTTTTATTTCTTTCTATTGGTCGATTTCTCTGGCTAAACTTTTGAGTACTATATTGAACAGGAAGGTGAGAGTGGACGCCCTTGTTCCTTTCCTGATTTTAGAGGGAATGCTTTCAGTTGTTCCCCATTTAGTATGATGTTGATTGTGCATTTGTCATAAATCGCCTTTATCTCTTTGAGGTAAGGCCCTTCTATACCTGTTTTTGTCAGGGTTTTATTTTTTTATCATGAGTGGATATTGGATGATGTCAAAAGCTTTTTGTTCATCTATTGAGATATTTATGTCATTTTTATCCTTCTGTTTATGTAATATATTACATTTATTGATTTACGTACTTTGTACCATCCTTGCATCCCTGTATGAAATTGACTTGGTCATGATGTATGAACTTTTTTGGTGATTTGTTGCATTATTTTTACAATAATCTTATTGAAGAGTTTTGCATCTATGTTCATTAAAGACATTGGCCTGTAGTGTTCTTTTGATATCAGAGTAATACTGGCTTCAAGGAATTAGTTTAGTAGTGTTTCTTCCCTTTCAATTTCATGGAAGGATCTGAGAAGTATTAATGTCTTCTTTTTTTTTTTTTAGTTCTTTTATTGGTACATTTTAAGTATACAATCCGTTTACATTTATCGTTGGGTGTTTGTACCTGTACATGATATATCTTGATTCTTATTTTTTTCCCCATTACCTGTACACCCTTCACCCCCTCCACCCTTCCCTGTTTACACAGATTTCATTTCCATTTTTTTTCTTTTCTCACAGTTTTTCCTTTCCCTCTTTTCCTTTCCCTTTCCCCTCCCTTCACTCCTTCATCTTTGGACCTTTTTTCCTATTTCAAATTATCAGTTATTCATTTTAATCATTTTAAGCCTTGTTTACACTCTCAGTTTCTCACACTAGAGAAACGATTGGGTATTTACACGTGTGTCCTATTTATTTCACTTAAGAGTATGGCCTGGATATGCATCCATTTAGCTATAAATGACTCTAGTTTTTCGTTCTTTATGGCTGAGTAGTGTCTTCTTTGAAGTTCTGGTACAGTTCACTGGTGAATCCATTTCATTGATGGTGCTCAGATTTTCTTAGTTGTTAGAGATTTTATTCCTCCTTCTATTTCATTGCCTATTATTAGTCTGTTCAGATTTTTATATCTTCTAGGATTAATTTGAGTAAATCATATGTGTCTAGGCATTTATCCATTTCCTTAGGATTTTCCAGTTTATTTTGGAATACCAATTTTCAAAACAGTTTCTTATTCTCTGGATTTTAGTGATATCCTTTGTGATTTCACCATTTTCATTTCTAATAGCACTGATATATGTCTTTTCTTTCCTTTTTTTGATAAGGTTGCCTAAGTCTTTGTCTATTTTGTTTATCCACTCAAAGAACCAACTTCTGTGATTCATTGATTCTTGTATTTTTCAGTCTAAATTTCATTAATTTCCACCCTGATCTTTTTTATTTATTTCTTTTTATTAGTTTTGGATTTGGATTACTCTTGTTTTTCTAGGATCTTGGGATGAATCATTAGGTTATTTATTTGGAATTGTTCTATTTTCTGATATAGGCATTTACAGATAAAACTTCTCTTGTAGAACTGCTTTCATTCTGACCCATGGGTTTTGGTATGTCATACTGCACTTGTCATTTGATTCTAGGAACTGTTTTGTTTCCTCACTGATTTTTTTCTGTGACCCATTGATTATTTTACAATGTATTATTTAAAAGTCTCCATGAGTTTGCCTAGTGTTTTTGTTTTCTTTTGCTGTTGATTTCTAGTTTCATTTCTCTGTCATCTGATAGTATGCAGAGGATTATTTGAATTCTTTTATATTTACTTAAATGTGATTTGTGACCTAGGATATGGCCCATTTTGGAGAAAGTTCTGTGGGCTGCTGAAATATTGTTATTATTGGATGAAGCACTGTAGAAATCTTTTAAGTCCATTTGTTCAGTGGTAGTCTTTCTTTGTTAAGTTTTTGTTTGGTTGACCTATTTGTGAGAGTGGGGTATTGAACACACCCCACTATGATTGTTTTGGTGGTGTATAGCTGTCCTTTGTCAAGTAGTTTTTGTTTCATGAAATTAAGTACACCAACAATTGGTGCATATATATTTACAATTGTTATCCCTTGCTTTTGAATTATTTCCTTTAGCACTATATAGTGACGTTCTTTGTCTTTTTCTAATCAGTTCTGGCTTGAAGTTCATTTTATCTGAAAATAGGATAGCCTCTCCTGCTTGCTTTTAGGCCTCTGTTGCTTGGAGTATCATTTTCCATCCTTTCAGTTTCATCATGTGTTTATTTGTGGATAGAGTGTGTTTTTTGGAGGTGACAAGTTGGCTTTGGTTTTTTTTTATCCAATCTGCCAGTTTGTGTCTTTTGATTGGGGAGTAAAGACCATTTACATTGGGTATTATTGCTAATAGTTATTTACTGTTTCTTGTCATGGCATTTTTTTTACAGGGCTGATTCTTTTCTATTTTCATTTTGCTTAAGTACTCTCCCAGCTAGATGAGTTGTTTACTTTAGGATCTTTAGTAATGTTAGCTTTTCTGTCTGTGTTTAGAATTCCCTTGAACAATTCCTGCAATTCTGATTTAGTAGTCATGAATTTCTTTAGGTTCTTTTTGTCATGAAAATTTTTTATTTCTTCATTATTTGCGGGGTCGGGGTTGAGACAGGGTCTCACTAAGTAGTTCACGCTTGCCTTGAACTCACGGCAGTCTTCCTGCCTCAGCCTCCCAAGTGCTGGGATTATAGGTGTACACAACCATGCCCAGCTCTCCATTAATTTTGAAAGATAAATTTGCATTTTTTTTTTTGTACCAGGGAACGAACTCAGGACCTTGCGCTTGTGAGGCAGGCGTGCAATATTATTAATGTGGATTGGCAGTTGTTTTCTTTTAGGCCTTGAAAAACTTGACTCCAAGCTCTCCTGGCCTTTGAGAGTTTTGTTGAGAAGTCTGCAGTTATTCTCATAGGCTTGCCTTATAAGTAACTTGACATTTTCCTTTATTGGCTTTTAGTAGTTTCTCTTTGTTTCTCATTTCTTTGGAGTTTGACTGTGTTGTTTCCTAGTGAAGTTCTTTTCTCTTTGTGTCTGTTTGGGGTTCAAAATGCCTCATTTTCTGGATATCCACTTCAATCTCTATATTTGTGAACTTTTCTGCTATGATTTCAGTGAATAAAATTTTTTGGGGGGGGTGGGTACCGGGGATTGAACTCAGGACCTTGTGCTTGTGAGGCAGACGGCAAAACCACTGAGCTAAATCCCCCGCCCATTCAGTGAATAAAATTTTATACCTTTTATTTCCTTCTTCAGCCCTTCTTTGACACCTGTAATTCTTAGTTTGGTTCTCTTAGAGTCATCTAGGACCTCATGCATCAACTTCTTATAATTTCTGATTGCTTTTGGAATATCACTGAGAAAGTGGTCTTCTTGTCCTCAAGTCATGATATTCTGTACTGATTGTTTCTACTGACATTCAATTGCATTTTCCACTTCTAGAATTCATGCTTGATTCCTTTTTATAATCTCAAATTCTTTATACTAAAGTAGTCATTCATATCTTCCATAGTCTTTTAATTTAGTCAACTGTTTGCATCTTCTTTAAGCATATTGAACATCCTATTAATTAAATCCTTTATGAGCTTTCTGTGTCTTTGAGCTTTGAGCTTATTGAGCATTTTAGTAATTTTTTCATGCAGTTATTTGTTTCTTTGATCTCTTCAAACATTTTAAGTATTTGGTTTCTGAAT